TAGAACAATGAATGCAATAAAAAAAAAAAAAAAACTTCAAAATAAGACAGTAGTAAATCCAAAATGGCTACCATAATTATCTTGCTATCTTGGAAATAGCTGCCCACACCATCAGATATAACAAAATCAAACAAAGCAAAATAGAATAAAACCCAACCCAACAAATCAATGAAAATGATACAGGACTTCAAAACCAGATACTAGGGAGTTAACAATGGCTCCTACCTTTTGAAGAAGATCCCCCATACATGCCCCAGTGCGTACAGTGATCCTCTGAATAGACAATCAGATCACCAGCCCCAGACCTGCAAAGTCAGTGAAACACCAAACACCATAAGCATCAAATTGCATTTCTTTTTTTTTTTTAATTTTATTTTGAAAGTAGTAAAAATGCAGCAGCACAAGACAGAACAAAGCCAATCGAGACAATGCAGTGAAATTGGTACAGGATTTCACAGTAAGATACTGGGATAGTAGTAATAGGTACTATGGTATATCGCCTTAACTTCACAATAGTTGTCCAGTCAATTAGGTATAGCAAAATCAAACCAAAAATAGAACATTATAAAACCAATTGAGAACACTGAATAGAGCAAAAGAAACATAACAAAACATAAGTGAAAACAACCTTTGCCTTCAAACAGAAGCTAGAAGGAAATCTCTCATATTTGCTGTACTGTATATGATCATCCTCCCAAGAGATGCTGAGATATCTATTCCCAGTAGCTATGGGGGGGGGGGCAGGCGGGGGAAGGGTGTGCTTGATTTTCAGCCTGTGTGGCAGTAGGCTCACAGGTAATGGTTCTCCTCCTGGCCCTCGCTGCAGGCTCTTACCAAGAGGGCGGGTGAATAAACTGCCTGAGTCCCACCATGGCCGGATCTCCAGCTCCATCAAATTGCATTTCACTTGAATAACTATCATCCCAGCCTGTGTTTCTCTGGGTGTCTGGTCTCTTATAGGGGTAGGGAGAGTGTGTATGGGGGCAGGGAGTGTGGCTGTTGTTTCCCAGCCATGTGCCAGAAGGGGTGGGATCTGGCTGTCCCCAGGTGGCAGTGGCCCCTGCACTGATTCACAGGGAGGCCCTGCTTCTTGTTGACATTTTGTGAATGACCTAAGAGTTTCTTGAGAGAAGAAAACTAGTTATGATATTGGAACTTTCTTTTAAATTAATTTTAAAATATAGAATTGAAACCTTTATTTTTTCAATCACAGTTTTGAAAGGTATACAGTGGAGTTTTGAATCATATATTATAGAATTATTAGGGTATATCAACAATTCTGTGGTTTCATATTATTCAACAGTATCATAGGAAGACTTATTTTTTACAAATAAATATTATAGAGCTAGAAATATAGCTCAGAGCACAAGCAGCTTCCTCCAAGTGCAAGGTCATGAGTTCAATCTCTGGTACCAGGGAAATAAATAAATAAATATTATAGGGCTGATAGTAAAGCTCAGTGGTAGAAGCCCTAAAGTCAATTCTCAGTATGCATATTTATGTTTTATGTGTAGAAATATATGGTAAAATTTAAATTAGCTATAAGGTTATAAAATGAAAAACAAAGTCTCCACTAATTCCTGTCCCCAAATTATTCTACTTTAGCTACTTAGTTAACAGATTATTTGATTCTTTTATATATGATTTATTCACATACATAAATGCATCACAACAAAAAATGATTTTCCCTCTACCATAATATATGCTTCTTTTTAGTGCTGAACAATATTACAATTTAATTTACCAGGTAGACTAAAATTGATGGGTATTTACATCATTTCCACATTTTTCTCATCACCAGTATGAAGTAGTAAATATGGACTACTTACAGTATCTTGTAATTTTGAGACAGTCTTAGCTAAAGAATTAACGATTTAGAATAATTCATTGGGTAAATTCCTAGCTGTAGAATTATGGTTAACAGTACATGCATTAGCCAGGCCTGCTGGTACACTCCTGTAATCCCAGCACTCAGGAGGCTGAGGCAGGAGGATCCTTGCAAGTTTGAGACCAAAGTGGGGCTACAAAGTGAGCCCAAAGCCAGCCTGAACTGCATAGCGAGACCTGTCTCAAAAAAACAAAAAGAAACAAACAAAAACCCAGCACATGTATTACAAATTTTGACAGCTTTGGGATCTGGGGATATAGCTTAGTGGCCCAGTGCCTGGCTGGCAAGTGCCAATTCCCAGTACCCACTAAAAAAAGACGGAAAGAAAAAAGAAATTTTGATAGGTTGTATAGACTTGCCTTTCAAAAGTTATTTCAATTTACATTTCTAGTAACCGCTTTTTGCTAACATTGTGTATATTTGAGTTGAATATGATTCTATCTGCTTCTCTTTTTTCAGGAAACTGCCTATTAATATCCTTTGCCTATTTTTCTATTGTGTTGTTACATTTTTCCCTTCAGTGATTTGAAAAATTTGTGAATAAATTTTATCGTCAAAAATTCATTTTATTGGTACATTTTAGATATACCTAATAATCATGTTCATCTTAGGGAATTTGTACCTGTACATGATAGATCTTTTTTTTTCCCCCATTCCTCTTTCCACCCTTCAACCACTCTTTCCCTCCTTATTTACAAGAGCTTTATTTCCTTTTATTTCTTCTGTTTTTTAAAAATTAATTTTATTGGTACATTTTAGATATATAATGGTACATTCATTGTGGAAATTAGTGTGGAAATTCCTTAAAAAACTAAAACTAGAGATTACATTGACTCTGCTATTCCCCTTCTTGGTATCTTCCTAACTGGAAAACGTCATACCACATCCATATGTGCCCACTCATCTTCATAACAGCAGTTTGTAATAATAAATTATGGAAACAGTCTAAATGCTCATCAAACAATAATGGGATAAAGAAATGTGTTTTAAAAAATATATAGTGGAGTACTACTCTGCCATAAAGAAAGATAAACCTAAACTATGACATTTCTAAGTAAATGGATGCACCTTGAGACCATACCTTTTTGTTTGTTTTGTTTTTTTGAGACAGGGTCTCACTATGCAGTTTAGGATGGTCTTGAACTCACTGTGTAACCCAGCCTGACTTTGAACCTTCAGCAATCCACTTACCACAGCCTCCCAAGTGCTGGGATTGCAGTAAAGCATGCACCGCCAGGCTCAGAGAGACCATACTCTTTGAGCGAAATAAATCTAAACATGTGTAAATACTGCATTATTCCTCTGGTATGAAAAACAAAGTGTACAAACAGACCACAAGGTACAATAGATGTGGTAAAATAGGAGGAAAAAATGTTCAAATGGGAAGGGAGCAAGGGAAGGAGAGGGAGGAAGAGAAAGGAAGAGAAAGGGGAAAAAAATCTTCTTAAAGGGTGGGGAGTGGTAACAGTGCCCTGACCTCAATCTCTTTTTGCGGTACTGGAGATCGAACTCACGACCTTGTGCTTGCCAGGCAGGCGCTTATGCCACTGAGCTAAATTCCTGGCCCCCCCGGGCTCAATCTTCAGTACTGAAGAAGAAAAAAAAGTCAATACTTATTTGAAACATGTTATGCTCATAGTAAGAGCTAAAGAGTTTCATTTTCTCTATTAACATCACAATGAAATGACTTCAAAGCCTGACATAAATGTGTACTTTTTTTTCTATATTGTCATTTTGGTTTTTTTTTTTTTTTTTTTTTTTTTGTAACAGGTATTGAACTCAGGACCTCATGCTTGCCCAGCAGCCGCTTGTTGCCACTGAGCTAAATCTTCAGCCCCGTTATTGTCATTTTGAATAAATCAACATAAATGTAACACTTTTCAAAAACCCACAAAATTCACACCATTCAAATCCAAGACAAGACTATTCATAAACAATAAAAAAATACTATTAAGACCTCAAGTCCCTGGGCACTGTGATTATCATAGATATAAAATGCAATGTGGTTTTCTTTCAATCTTTTGTTCAGCAATTCCTTCCTAACGAAATAGAGCTTGAAGTTTCTTCATTGAATCATAAACTGAAGGTCACAGCATTTTAGCTCTAAGTGTTTCTATCTCTTCTTTTCCAAATCATACTAATTAGGGAGTTACACAAGAAACTGAAATCCAGCAATATTATTAATCTTTGTTCAGAAGGATTTTAATCTAAGTTTTGTTAACTCTCAACAAAAATGAAGATATAGATAAATTAGTACATGTCTAAGTGTACAGGACTGATACTCATATTACTTAGTTTTGTTGGATAGTTGAACAGAATGGTTTGTCTCCCCGTTTGAATTCCCATTTATATGTTCCACTTTTGTATCTTGAACAAGTATTTGTGGGGGGATAATATTTATACATCAACTAGTGATTTATTACTGCTTATTTCTTTTGTTTGAAAGTATGTACTATTTCTGCTCGTTTTCTATTGTTTTATCTTCCTCTAAATAAAAAAAATAAAAGGACCTGGTTTGAATGAACTCCATTTTAGACCCTTGATTCACTTGCGCAGGAAAAGGTCTGTAGCCTCCTGCTTAAATCAGTTTTAGGGCAATCAGTATGTGTCTATAGGATGATAGTGTCAGTCACTTTAAAGAAGTTGAGGATTTTTGGTGACAATTGAATGCTTCCCTTTCCAACTCCTGTTTAAAGTCAACCGCAAATCTACACACTGGGGTAACCCACAGTGGAAATACAGCCAAGCCCGCTGGCCCCTCCGAGCCCCGCTTCGGACTCCATCACGAGTGGCCGCTGGCGGTGGGAAACACAGGAGCCTGCGGGGGAGACCACAGCCGGTTTGGGGGCTCCTTCCTCACCACGGCGCTCAGAGTGGAAGCCTGAGCCGGGATCCGCCGGCGGCTACAGGCCTGGCGCGGATGACCCTGAACCCAAACTTTGCCAGGCTCCGGGGCGCACCCGCACGAAGCTGGCGCGGGCCAGGGGCCTGGGAGGAGCCGCGACTTTGTGACGCGGAGGCGGAGGCCGAGCAAGGGGCGGCGGGGCGGCGGGGCGCAGGCCGGGGAGCGCGGGCGCGTGGGGCCAAAGGAGGGCGGCGCGGCGCCGCGTCGACGCGCACGCGCTCGGGCGCGCTCCCAGCGGGGCGGGCCGGGACTCGCCGCTCGCACGCCTCTGGGCCGCCCTGAGCGCGCGCTCTGCCTTCCGCTTCCGACGCGCTGTCTGCCGAGCCGGTGGATGTGCGGCAATAACATGTCTGCTCCGATGCCAGCCGTCGTGCCCGCCGCCCGGAAGGCCACCGCCGCGGTGAGTGTTGGCGGCCGGGCCTCCGAGGGGGCCCGCTGGGCCGCCGGCCGGCCACTGTGCCTCACGCGGCGTCGCGGTCGCCGTCGCCGTCGCGGGCTGGGGCGGGGCGGGGTGACGGGTCGGTGAGGACGCCCGCCGCTCCTCGGGGCCGGGGCTGGGGTCGGGGCGGGGTCGGGGTCGGGGTCGGGGTCGAGGTCGAGGTCGGCGGGCCGGGTGGGCCACAAGGCTCCGGCGGGGGGCGGGCGCCGGCGGAAGGGCGTCCCCGCCCGGGCCTCTGCATTACGGAGCGAGCGCGGCCAAGACCCCCGCGAGGAGAGACGCGGGCCGGTGTCTCCCCGGCGCGGTTCTGCTTGGCTGGTGGAGCTGCAAGCCGGACACCGCAGGAAAATCGCTGTATTGTCCTGCCTTGTACTCTCGTCCTCAAGGAGAGAAGATTTAGTGTTTTAAGAGACCAGAGAGGCTGTTTTAAGGAAAGTTATCTGGGAGAATTTGAAACTGAAGTTTTACGCCCGGAAACTCCATTTTTGTGATGGAAAAATTCTTCAGTGTGGCACTCGTGGTTTGTCTCGGAAGAGACTGTTTTTCTTAGAACGTGATAGTTTGCGTTTGTGGATGTCTAACTGGGACCTCCTAATGCTAAAACCCCACATTAGTTATCTTAGGAACTGAAGGGAAGAGAGTTGATTCGGATTTTTTGCCTTTTAAGAGGTCTGTAGAGATTAACCTGAATAGTGTTCAGAAATCTGACATAGTTTTAAGACCTTTCATTTCCTTTTCCTAAAGTTGCAGTGCCTAACGTTCTGGGTGTACTTATTTAGGCGTTGCTTATTATTTTTTCCTTTTCTTTTTTAGGTTATTTTCCTTCATGGATTGGGAGATACTGGGTATGTAATCATTAGTAACATGAAAAAGTCATGAAATGGGGCTAAGGTTTAATATTTTCAGAATACTTAAGTTGTGAGAAAAAGATTGCTAGTAAATATCTCTTAAGAGTTCAGATATAGTCTTTTCTGTTTTATCATTTTTCAACTGCTGGCATGTATTAAAATTGTGAACTACTCCTTGGTTATGTTGGGTATTGGATACCAGAGGAGAGTGGAATGTTTGTAGAGGCAGTCTGCAATTGAGAGCTTTCCAGAAGTTAAACTTTCACAGTGGGTTGAGAGTTTTTGTTTAGAGAGATAGTGGCAACGTAAAACATACAAAGTTCTGAATAAGGGATTAGATGATCCCTTAAAACAGAAAAATCAGTAGAAGAGGAGGGTAAGAAACCCAAAGATTTGGAGATTTAGCAGATAGCCGTAGTGCAAGCCTGTAATCTTCGCAACTCAGGAGGATCATTAGGAGTTTGAGGCCAGCATGAATTAAAGTGAGACCTTGTCCTCCAAAAAAGAAAAGAAGACAAAACAAAACAGAATTTGGAGGCTTTTCAAACAAATTTTGTTGAAGTAACTTCAAGATTGTGATTTCTCTTTCATGCAAGCTTTTTCTCTATTGAGAAGCTTTTTGTCTTTACATTTGAATTGTGTTTATCTGTTTGAAATTTAGGTAAAATATGAATTTTGTTAAAAATTGCAGTTGAAGAAAGAATAGAAGATAAGTACATTTTGATAAAATAGCTAAAACACTACTAAATGGAGACATTGGGTGAGATGTGCAGGCTGTTAACCCAAGTCCTGGAGGACTGAGACAAGAGTTATGCTTTTGCTTTTTGCATTTTTTTTCTATACTTCTTTCTTTTATTTTCTTTTTTTGGGGGGTGGGGCAGAGGTTCTCTTGAGCCCAGATGTTTGAGACTAGCCTGGATAACATAGACTCTGCCTCAAAATTCATGAATAAGGAGGCACTGGACTAGGTTGGTTCTCCTTCCTAAGGATTAGCAGGGTCTGCCGTGGCTTCTGATATTAGACAGAGGCAGACATTTTCAAGGTTATATGGCTAGAGATACAGTCTTTATCAGTTCCTCAAAGTTCTTCGTAGTCTTTTATGCCTGTTACATTGAGTGTAGAGTTAGAGAAAAGGTTATAGGACTCCTGGCAATCAGGTAGTTTAGTGACAACCACAGGCTTATATTACTGGACGGGAATCCAATAGTAGACCCTGTTATACAGCCAGACTTTTGGTGATTCAGCAAGTCAGTAGATGCTCACTACCTTATTACAGTGCGCGAAATGAGAGCTTCTAGGCCTGAAGGACCAGTCCAAGCAAAAAAAAAAATAAAAAAATAAAAAAATCGTATATAGGAAATTATCCATCATGACCATGATGATGCCTGAATATAGTACGGTTTACACTGGAGGCTCTGGAAGAGGCTCACTAATTTGGGGCCAACCCGAGCAACTTTTGAGACTGTTTCAAAATATAAAATAAAAGGGATGAGGATATAGTTCAGTGGTAAGACAGCTTACTCAGTATGTGCAGGCCTCTGGGTTCAGTCCCCAGGTCCTCAGTACTGAAATAAAACAAAAATCGCTGTAAAAACTCAAGGCTTTCAGTTCTGAGAGACTTGGTGAAATAACACTAAAGAAAAGCTGACTCTGGACTGGTTCCATGAATACATGGTAATACTCAGAACCAGTTTATCTGACAAGTGGCAATTTAATGTTTAAAGTACTTTATGGAATGCATTTATCAACGTGCTCATATTTATAAACTGGAACTAATAAAGAAATACTTTTTTAGACCATGTTTTACTGACTTCAAAAAAGAGCTTTTGTGATTTTTTTGTTTGCTTTTTGCTTTTGATACAGAGTCTCCCTATATAGTTCAGGCTAGTCTTCAACTCACCGTGTAGCCCAGGCTGGCCTTGAACTCAAAGCAGTCTGCCTCAGCTTCCCAAGTGCTATGATTACAAATGTATGCCACCACGCCTGGCAACGTTGGTGATTTTGAAAATGTCACATATGTATTATAAAAAATTCAAGATGAAAATGTGTTTTAAAAGAATGAAAAGCTAGGTGTGGCCCCAGGCACCTGTAATCCCAGCACTAAGGGAAGCTGAGGCAGGAGGATCATCATGAATTCACCAGCCTGGGCTATATAGTGAGTGCAAGGCCAGCCTGAACTATATAGACAGGCTGGGTCTCAAAAAAAAATTAATAAAAAAAGAAAATGAATTAATTTCATAACTTAAACTATTTTGTATAGCATTTAAAAAATATTTGCTCAGTGTGGTGGTGTGTGCCTATAATCCCACCTGTTTGGGAGGCTAAATTAGAAGGATCACAAATTTGAGGTCAGTTTGGCAATTTAGGAAGATCCTGTTTCAGAATAAAAATTAAAAAAGGAGCCAGGTGTGGTGGTGCACACCTGTAATCCTGGCACTCAGGAGGTTGAGGCAGGAGGATCCTTGTGAGTTTTAGACCAACCTGGGCTTGCTCAAGGCAAGCCTGAACTGCATAGCAAGACCCTGTCTCAAAAAAAAAAAAAAAAAAGAACTGGAGATGTGCCTCAGTGGTAGAATGGTTCAAAAAGCTTAATTTAAAATATTTTTTTATTATACTGGGGACTGAAGCCACAGTTTTCAAAGTGACTTACATTGTCAAGCCCTTTACTTGTTTATTTAATTTTTTTTTTGAAACAGAGTCTCAGTTGCTCAGTGGCCTCGAAGTTGCACTCCTCCTGCCTCAGCCTCTCAGAGTACTGTCCTATACCATCACTCCAGCCTGAAATATTTTCAGATTTATAGAACTGCTTTGTGCTGGAGGCACACTTCAGTAGGAGAGCTTTGCCTAGTTTGCATGGGACCTAGGTTTGAACCTGAGCACTGAAAAATTTAAAAAATACAGAATCATTTCAGTGTATTAGATTTTTCAGTCTCTTTGACTAGATTTACTAATGTCTTCTTCTTCAATATACATTGTTTTTGCTGTATACTTTGAGGTTACATTGCAGATATGGTTCTTTATTTTTTTTGGTACGGGGATCAGACTAATGACCTCACATTTACCAGGCAAGTGCTTGAGCCACTGAGCTAAATCCCCAAGAAACCATGCTGCTTTATTTTCATGTGCTTTAGTATATCTTTCTGATATGCCATGTTACATAGACTAAATAAAACGCCATGACTATGTAAGGAGGGTCTTCTATAACCACAAGATAGTTATCAAATTGAAGACATTTAGTATTATCTAATATGCAACATATTCAACCTTTGCCATTTTGTCACAGTGATGTCCTTTATAGCCTTCTCCCTCCCATGCCAGGATTTCTCAGCATTTGTTATTCATGACAGTATTGATATTTTTACAGAAATCAGGCTAGGCAGAGTTTTAAAATTTTCTCATAATTGAATGCATTTTTTGCTTTTTGGTTATGAACAGTAGGTAGGTGATGTATCCCAATCAGTGCATCACTAAGATAAATGTGTTGTTTGTGGGGCTGGGGATTTAGCTCAGCTTCATAAGCACCTGCTTTGTAAGCAGGCAGTAGTGAGTTCGATCCCTGGTACTGATAAAAAGGAAAAAAAAAATGTGCTGTTTGTTTCATTTTAGTTGCATTTTTGGGAGGTTGCTGAGAATCAAACTCAGGACCTTGAGCTTGCCAGGTAGGCGCTGTGCTGCTTAGCTGTATCCCTGGCCTTCCACTGTTAGTACTAATTTGAATCACTTAATGAAGGTGATGTCTTCCAGGGTTTTCTACTGCAGTTATATTCTCTTTCTAAGTAAAAATCAAGTTGTGATGTGACAACTTTCAGATTTTTATAATTCCTTCTTCATCAAACTTTCAATTAGTATTTTTAGCATTGAGTTGATGGTTCTTTCTTTGATCCGTCCTGTGGATCAATCCTTGGGGTGTACCTGGAGGAGGAATGGGGATTAAAATAAAAACATGGGGGAGACAGAGAGAGACAGAGGCAAGTTGAGGGAGTCCAGTTAAGCCCCGTTTTATTCCGGAAGTGATTACATCTTTTATAGGCCAAGGGCGGGAGATGGGACAGGAAGAGGCTACGGGGGTGAATACAACAGGGTCAGGGTATGTGACGTAAGCAGGAGAGGATTATGGTTAATGTAGGCAGACACAATGCCCATAGGAGAGAGAGAGAGGCAGGGAGACAACAATGGGGCTGTCGCTAGGATCCCTACATCTCCTCCCTTTCTATATTATTTAATCAGGAGTATGGCAGGCCCTGCCGGACAGCGTCTGTCTTAGGTCAAGGACCTCATTGCATGAACCCAACCAGGCCTTACCCGTCATGGGCTTCCAGAACAGCAGTTGGTCCTGTGCCTGTCTTAGGTGACCGTTGGAATTAACATGCATGTCCTAGTTGCCCGTCTCTGACTGCCTGTCCATTGCCCCAGGGCAGTTAGGCCGCATTGTCGTATGAGAATTCCTCGTGGGAATTCCTTCCCGGTAGGTTTGTTGATCTGTCATCTCCAGCTGATGATAGTGTACCTGAATGGGCTTTGCCATAAATGTGTCTATCCAGTTATTAATGAGCATCATAATCCTCTGAAAAAATAGAAAGACTCACAGAAAGAAGAAGCAATAGGGCAACTAGGGGACCCAAAAGAGGTGCTAGGTAAGGGAAAAGCTCCCCCACACACACACATCGAGGAGAAGGGGTTGGCAGCCATTTGTTGTTGTCGTTGTTGAAGTCGTTCTTTTCTTTCGTGGAGCTTGTCTCGTATAACACCGGATGCAGTCTATTTGGCTGGTTTATGTTCCTCCAGACGGAGAAGAGCCTCCTCCACAGTCACAGGGGGTTGTGTGCATGGCTGTCAGCAGTTGTAGTCTGTTTGGCAGGGGTCTAAATCCACCATGGGTGTGGTACGGCCCAAGGAGAAGGCTGAGTAGGCAGCATAGGGCTCCAGGGATTTGTGTCACCTCTAAGAGAACACAGGGGATTGTGCCTCAGGAAATGACATTACTCCTGGGCATTTCA